GGTCGCCCCCACTGTGGCTTGTCTATGTTCGAGCCCTAACGAGTGTGTCTGACATTCCTGCCACATGGTAGGTTTGACGCTGCACCAAAATAGCTCCCGTGGCCTGCGTGTTCAGTCCAGGCTGAACAGCTCTAATTTCTCCAGCTGTCCTGGTGGAGTTCAGACAGGCTGACCATCCTAGGTGACCTGCTGGAAACGCTGGTGGTCACGGTCCCTGACAGGACCTCGCTGGCTGGTACGCGAAGAGCAAGGGGGCCTTCCCTCAACAGGAACTCAGCCTTGTCCAGGGCCTCGCCATGGCTGGATGGAGCAGCGTGCCTGACCCTAGAGAGTTATTCCGTTGATTTAATACCCCTTAGTGGAGGTCAGTGTTTCCAGGAGCAGCCCTGACAGTGTCAGTGCGCTGCATGAACAGTGCCCAGTAGCATTTCTGCAGTAGAGCACGTTGCCTTCTGGACGTTTTTGGATTTTAGTATACAAATGGCGTGGCAAGGAGGGTTTGGAGTGACTTGTGCTTAGGGAGCTGACCCCTATAGTTTTGTCTGGGAGTCACCCTGGGCACGCACAGGACAGGAGCGGCTTGCAGAGCAGCGGGCAGCCTGAGTGCGGGGCTGTGTGCAGGTGAGCTGGCTGTGTGGCCGCCAAGCCTGCCTTTCCTGGCCGTGGGTGGGCCCAGACCATGTGATGCCTGAGGGGACATGCACCCTGAGCAGAGTGCCCGGCAGGCTGAGGGCCGAGGAGGGCAGTGCAGACCCGCCTTCCCTCCGGCCTGATCCGTTTCTGGTCGGGGCTGATCTGTGTTTCAAAGGTGCTTCGCTGCTCACTTTAGTTGAGAGAGGAAGGTCTACTCCCTGATTCATTAGATTGGAGTAGAAATGGTTCCAGAGCTCTTTTGAGAGCCCACCTGTTTGAGTTGAGACCGAGAAGCCTGAGTGTCCTCCTCGGAGCGTGTGCGCACCCCTCAGAGATGCGGGGTGTCGGCCCGCTGTCGGAGGAGGGGCTGCCATCTGTGTTCCAGCGTTGTCCATGGCCTGGCTTCGTGTGGGACCCCGTGTGTCACAGAACTGCTCACTGACGAGACGTGGGAGCTGAAAGATGTTTTAAGGCATGCAGACTTAGCAGTTTTTAAACTATTCCATGCTGTAAAGCAAAAGTAAAATGCGAGTGCCCTGTGTAAAGGGTTCTCTGTGAAAGTGGATCTACGGTTTAGCATGGAAACGTGTGTAGAAACACATCTGTTGTGGGGTAATATCACTGGTTTATCTGTATCAGGTACACAGGACTTCAGTTTACTTTTCAAGAAAAAGGAACTAGTAACTTGGAGAATTATAAATGTCTTCAAATAAAAGTATGAATAATACCCTTGGTATTGAGTATTGTTTCCTGGCTATTCACTCCCGACTAGACTAGGCTGCCTGAGGACAGGAACCCTAATCTCTCAAACATATTCCTGCATCCCTGTACCCCCGAGAACACCTAGGCAGACAGTGAGTGCCCGGTATTTATTGAACTGAATTTAGTTTTCTTGATCAAAGCTTGGCTAAAATATTAATTTACAAGTCCCAGCCTTTCTTTTCCTTCACTCCTAAAATCCAGATTCAGAATGTCAGCCATATAAAATGGTTCGAAGCAGTGACAGCCTAATACAACGGGCCCTGAGTTTATGTGCCAGGAAGCACACGGCTGCCATTTCTACCCGCTGTTCCAGACCTGGAAGCGACCTTAACGCCAGTTAACTATCTCCCGGGATTTGGGGCTTTAAAGAATAGTGTGCAATTTAAAAAAAAAAATTCCTATTTACTCCTAAGATCCTTGGTGCATATTCCTCTGGTGGAGCGTTTTGGGGCAGGAAAAACTCTTGAGGCCTTTCAGAGGGACCTGTCCTTTTTCAGAGTAATGAAGCAGGTCCAGGTTGAGCCTCAGAGCTTGCGAGCACAAGAGCCAGGAGCACCTGGCCATGGCCTCGGTGGTGGTGGGCAGGTGTGCAGGTGATGCACATGGGCAGGGGGCTGGGCCGGTGGTGTCCCGCAGCGGTCGGGCCTCAGGCCAGGTGTCAGGGCTGCCTGGGGTGCAACCCTCCTTCTCTGAGTCCCAGCCCCCCAGGGAAGTAGGGCCAGTGAGAGAGTTGCGGTCACGATTGCTGAGTGAGCACTGAGCACACCATGGTGCCTGCTCCTGGATGATGTCGCTTTATTGACCTCACCAGCACATCCCTATCCGTCCGCTCTTAATCTAAGAGCTGAGAGCCCTACCCACTCAGCGGACCCTCCCTGTAGTTACACCGGAGTCCAAGGTACACCCGCATGGTGTCTGAGAAATTAGCTCAGAAATCCAGCAGCCTGGTGCGGTTTTCATCAGCTGTTACCCAGTTACGACGCTGCAGTGTCCCCAGCCTCAGACAAGGCCTTCCTCGCCCTGGCGGCTGCTGGGCCTCCACAGCTCTGGCCCGAGCTCAGCCCACAGCCTCGGACCACACTCAGGCCAGCTCGTCGCGGCTGCACCGTGACCGCGGGGAGGGCTGTCTGCCACTGCGCCCATTGTTCGGGACGGTGGATCGTAGGTAGCTGCAGTTGGTGTGTGCAGTTAGAAGGAGAGCAGGCACAGAAAATGCAGTGAAGCCAGATGTTTCCTACCTCCAAACTGAATTGTTACCGAAGAGTTGATTGCTGGGGGTGGAAGAAAACTAATTCCTTCATTTTATTTCCCAAAGTGAAGGCATTGGAGTCTTTCAGCAATCTTCTAAACAAAGTCTGTTTGATTCATGTAAGATGTCTCATGGAGGGCCATTTACAGAAGATAAAGTGGAAGATGTGAAGGCTCTGGTCAAGACTGTCCCTGTGTTCTTGGCTTTGATCCCTTACTGGACAGTGTATTTCCAAGTGAGTGGTGACAAACAGGTTCCATTTCCTTACCTCCCGCGAAGCACACCTAGGGCTTGTTTGGCCGTTGCTAAAGTCTGTTCTGCGCAGTGACTTTTCTCCATGAGTCTCTAGCACCTCGGGATTTTTGTTTTTATGTATGGACTCATTTTGACTGCTTTAAATATTTTGAAAACCTTTCCAAAAAGAAGCTGAGGATGGGGGTGCGTCTGGTGTCCTAGGCCCCTCCCGGTTACTAAATTCCTCATCTGGGTAACGGTAGCCGTGTTTCCAACTCCGTCTCCAGAGGGCTTTCCTGATGCTGGCGTAGTAGACTTGCCCGTTTTCAAACCGGAACCCTGTCTCTGGGGTCGTGGCCGCGCCTCACTGCAGTCGACCAGGGGAGGGCTGTGTGCTTAGCCTGGAAAGGCGTCGCGGGCACACGGGTGACACGCTGCCCTTCACACCCAGATGCAGACGACGTACGTGCTGCAGAGTCTGCACCTGAGGATTCCCGCCATTTCAAGCATCACAACCACCCCTCACACGGTAAGAGCACCGGCGCGGTCCGGACACGGTCACTCGGGGCCTCCGTAATACACGGCCCTGCAGCCGCAGCTGTCTTGTAGACGGTAGCTGTCAGCACAGGCTGCCAGCGCAGGCGTTGTTGGTGAGGCGCGGCTGGCGTGGATTTTAGAGCTGAGACCAAGCCCACTGAGGCCACTTACGGTTATTAGCGTTTACCTTTTATTTTCCGGTCCTTAAAGCACAGAAAGGTAAATCCCAGGCCCACTCAGGGATAGACTGTCCAGCTCCAGTGTCTCGAGGCGAGGCTTTTCCCTGGGAGGGTGCGCCCGGGGCTGCACCTGTGCTCATGTCTGCCACTTAGACGTCGTGGCTGGTAAGCGCCGCGCCCGGCCAGCAGTAAACGTGCCGCTGTCCCTCCCCAGTTCCCGGCCGCCTGGCTGACCATGTTCGACGCCGTGCTCATCCTGCTGCTCATCCCCCTCAAGGACAAGGTGGTGGACCCCGTCCTGCGGCGGCACGGCCTGCTGCCGTCCTCCCTGAAGAGGATCGCCGTGGGGATGTTCTTCGTGATGTGCTCCGCCTTCGCCGCCGGTGAGAGCCTCTGCCGCTCTGCCCCGCGGCTCCCCCTGCCGCCGTGGGCCGGGCCAGTTGGGGCGTCGGGAGTGTGCGTGTTAGGGACCAGCCCGCCCCCGTGAGGCGGCCGGCAGCCCTCGTCTTCCTCCTTTTTATTACACAGAGTTCAACAGTTTTTGGTAAGGATATGTCCTTATTTTTCTCTAGAATTAAAAACCACTGAAGCGCTCTGGAAAGTGACCTATGGATTGAATTAAGGGAGGCTTTTTCTCTACCTACAGATTTAGATGGAGACTCCTGATTACTGAATAGATGGTTTTTTTTGGTGGGGGGTGGGGGGAGAGGTTTTTGCTAAAGGGCGCATGCGCTCGCCAGAAAGACAGAGACAGACAGAAAGCAAGAAATCACCCCCTGGGGGATGCCACGCTGCAATCCCTTCTCTTCCATTCTCCTCTTGGGATCTTGGGCATGCACGTACGTGCACCTGGTGTTAGTTTAAGCCACCGGGTCCAGGACTCGAACTGCAATCGACTACACGAGAATCCAGCGACATAGCCATTACCATAGCTAACTGCTGGTCCGAATAGATTTTTTTTTTTTTTCAGAGTATTTTGCTATAAGGCACGTGCGCTCTCCAGAAAGACAGACAGAAAGTGAGAAATCACCCCCAGGAGGGATGGCCACGCATGCACATGTGCCCGGCATGAGTCTAAGCTACCCAGTCCTAGACTCAAACCACAATCGGCTACATGGGAGTCCAGCCACATGGCCATTATGCCATCTGCTGGTCTGAATAGATGAATTTTTGTACATGAAAGGTGCTATTTAATTCTCTAGCATGAGCACTCCACCTTATGTGTCTTAACCCTAGGTCTCTGAATAGACTGCGTTTTTTAAAAAACGAGATTGTGTTTCCCTGGGGAGAAACATGTCACAGATTCAGGGACAGGGCCACCCCTCGCCTCCAAACATCCGTCCTGTCAGGAACCAGTGCCCAGGTGCCCAGGGAGCCCGAGGGCAGCTGGTGAGCCCCGTGCTGTGGTCAGTGTCCCAGCCCCGAGCCCTTGGCCGTCTTCGCTGAGGGAGCTGCGTCGTGGCCGACCTCAGCGAGCTTTGGAGCACTGCTCTTAGGGATGTCTGCAAGTGACTGAGACAGGGAGCAGGGGTAGAGCAGCCGGCACTCCCACCTCGCATCCCTGTGTCTAGTGCCTCTCACCTGCTGCTCCCAGGGTTTGAGCTTAGCACTGCTAAAACGCAGTGGAATGTTCTGGAACAGCCTTGTTCCTAGCTGCCCTCGTCTGCTGTGGCCGAGGGAATATATTGATGGAGTGCTTAATAGGTTTGAAGAACTTGGTCCCTGGGCTTCCACCTCTGTTCTAGAGGCGGGGCCCTTGGGGGACCGCTGTGTTTTCCTTTGATCATAGGTGAGCCGAGTGAGTGGCGTCTGAGCCAGTGCCCCTGTGTGCCCCGCCTGTCCTGTTCCTCCCCCAGCCCGCGGCCCTCAGGGAATAGCAAGAACAAGGACTGGATCTTGGATCCTGCGTGTAGGGTAGACGGGAGGAGGCTGCTTTGTTGGAGAGTGTGTGTGTGTGTGTGTGTGTGTGTGTGTGTGTGTCTGTCTGTCTTGGCTCTGCAGAGTGTCTGTGTGTGTGCGCACGTGTGTGCACATGCTCACGTATGTCTCGGCTCTGCAGACTGTCCACAGGGTGGTGGGCTTAGGTCGGGCCCACAGCTGTTTGGGATTCTGGCCCAGGGGCCTTCCCTGTGCCCTGTGATCAGGCTGCTCTGATGCCATGGAGGGGGTCCCTGTTCTCTCCCCAGAGAAAGCAGAGGGTCTTGGTCTCCCTGAGCATCTTCTAGGAGATGCTTGGTTTGGGGTCCTTAACTGTCACCTTCTCTTTTGATTTCATTCATGGCTGAACCACTGGGGGCCGTCCTGAGAGCCCCTCGGGCACTACAGTGGTTTCTTGGCATGTCTGTGTAGCTGCTGGCTGCCTGGCGGGTAGCTGGGAGACTTCCAGGCCAGGCTCCGACACCCCTGCTTTACAGAAGTGCTGGCAGAGTGCACAGTGGGAAGAGCCCAGGAAGGGCTACGACTCATTGAGGCCACTGCTTACCCCAGACTGCTTGAGGGCGTGAGTGTGGGCGTGCGTGTGCATGTGTGTATGTGGGCATGTGTGTGCTCATGTGTACGTACGTACATTTACTTAATAAATTTCCTGCAGGCTCAGAAAGTGAACTGTATACTAGGGGCATTCTCTTTAAAAAGCATGTGTTACTCGAGAAACTAAAATCTGTGCAAAGCCAGAGGACAGCGAAGGGTTAGCTGCCATGTGTTCTCGGAGAACTGAGAGGTGAAATGACCTGTCGGCCAGTATGGCGCTCCCTGGGGACAGACAGGTCATTCTCAGTCTGCGAGAGCGTCTCCCTTGCTCCCGGGTGGCACGGTGACCTGGGCAGGCTGGCTGCTCTCGTCGAGACTCCCTGAGCACCTGGCACCCGGTGTGCCTGGCCGGCTTGGGGGCCGAGGCGTCGAGCCTGCCGGGGTGCTCTTTCGCGGTCTTCCTTGTGCGTGGACAAATAAGGAGAACGTCCTCAAGCCCCCATGGACACGACACGCTGTCCCTCTGCATGGCCGCCTTGGGTCGCCGCGGGCTCAGCTCGGGAGCTGTGGCTGGCCGTGCCCCGTGGGCGTTCCCCAGGTCACTGGCAGCCACCCTGCAGCAGGCACCTGGTCTGACTGCAGAGGCTCAGGAGAAGTGCTGTACTAACCTGCCTGTGCATTCTAGGGATCCTGGAGAGTAAACGACTGAACCTCGTGAAGGAGAAAACCATTAACCAGACTATCGGCAACGTGGTCTACCACGCCGCGGACCTGCCGATATGGTGGCAGGTTCCCCAGTACGTGCTCATCGGGATCAGCGAGGTCTTCGCCAGCATAGCAGGTGAGGCCTCCCGGGTCGGGACGTCGGAGCGTAGCACACGAGGCTCTCTGTAGCTGCGGCTTCCTCCCAGGGTCCCACATTTGCAGGTGCTCATTCGCCACGTCTCCCTGTCCTGTGCACGGAAGTCTGCTGCCGTGTCTCGGGCTGCTGGGAGACGGGGAAGGAGCGTGTGGAACGTGGGCGCACTCTGCAGCCCTCGGGGGCTCGCATCGAGTTGGCTGGTGAATCGTGGGGGCAGACCCAGCAGCGAGGCTGCTCGCGTAGACGGCATCGTGGTTCTCCACGTCTAGCTGTTACGAAACCTGGGTTTGCAGACGGGCCTGATGGAATCATTTCCAAGTGGATTGCCTTTGAAAGAGAGTCCTTAAGTAGATTTTGCATTTTAAAATACGTACTTTATTTTCACACTCTCTCATCAGTTGAGGTCGCAGAGAAATTTCGCCTAGCAGGGCCAGGCCTGTGCCGGGGTCGGCCGTGCGGCTGTGTCTGAGGTGGGGTGTGGCCAGTCAGCGCTCCGTCCACACGGCAACCTCTCTCCTCCCACAGGCCTCGAGTTTGCGTACTCAGCCGCCCCCAAGTCCATGCAGAGCGCCGTGATGGGCTTGTTCTTCTTCTTCTCTGGCGTGGGCTCATTCGTGGGCTCAGGGCTGCTGGCGCTGGTGTCTCTCAGGGCCATTGGGTGGATGAGCAGCCACACAGACTTTGGTAAGAGCCTCTTACCACCTCGGGAGTAACCAGCGGACCAGAGCCTCGTGTGCTTGGGCTGCCGCGGGAGCTGTGCGAGCGAGGTGGCCTTCCCTCTCGTGGCCTGTCCCCAGCTCTGCCCCCTGCCCCCTCACTGGGCCGCGAGCATCGTCGTATTTACTACATCACAACACAGCCCTTTGCCCCTCTTAATCGCGGGTCAGGGACTAGAACCACGAAGTTGGCCAGGTGGGTCCAGCTGCCTTAACCTCCACGCCACTTGCTGGCCCAGATGAGTTCCTTTCCTGTGACCATGGTTAAAGTCACTCTGACCTTAGGACGAGCCCCGGGGCGTTAACTAACGGAGTCCCCAGTCCCTGCGAAGTGCTGCTCACGGCCGCTCTCTTCCGCCCCGTCCAGGCAACATCAATGGCTGCTATCTGAACTACTACTTCTTCCTCCTGGCTGCCATTCAGGGGGCCACCCTCCTGCTCTTCCTCGTCGTCTCTGTGAGGTACGACCGCCAGCGATCGAGAGCAAGCGCAGTGCTGGCCAGCGGGAGGGCCTGACGGCCCGAGGCCCCACGTATGTGGTGTCCGAGACTCGGGCCAGAGTGCTGGCGGGGTGCGCCAGGAAGGGGCCCGGCTGGGAAGGCCACCCTCGGCCCTTCCGTACCTGCCTGTCCCTGGACGGCTTCCTTCCTCTTCTCCCACCCAGTGAGTTGGTCCTGGACTGTGGCTGGGCTCCCAGTGCGTGGGGGCTCCCGCAGGAGAGGGGCAGGTTCCAGGTACGTCGCCTCACCAGGAAAGGCCTCTGCTCGCCCTTTGCGGTGCTTCCTCTTCACCCAAACCCCGACGGGGCGTCCTGGGAGAGGCACACGGCGGGCCGCATCCCTTTGTCTTCAGGAGCTTCTCCCCAAGGGCCATGTGCGCTGACGTTTTTTCTGTTTAATTAATGCACATCTCACAGAGGAAGAGGAGAATTTTTTCTTTTAGAGCTAAAACGGACGCCAGACGCTGCAGGGACTGTACAGCAGCGACGTTGTGGTCCCCAAGCCACACGGCTCGCCCTTGTCCCGGTGTGCGGCGTAGGCTGGTAGCGAGTGTATGTTGTCTGCTGCTTCAAAACATACTTATTTTTAAACCATTGACATTGCTTCTCTTGTTTTTAAGAAAACACACATCATGAGAACGTGTGTGCTGTCTTGAGCCACAGGACAGCCAGAGGGTGGTGTAGGCCTTCCCTGGCCAGTCCTGGGTGCCATTTTATTTGGGTACTACTGAGACTAAAGGCTGATCCTGGCTGGGCGAGGAGAGCACTCTGGACAGAGTCTAATTATAAATAACCTGACTAGTTGCCGACTTTTACACTGTTTTACATGTACCCCAGGGCCGTACGTGTGCTCAATAAACTGCTGTGTGTTCGTGTACTTGATTACAGACGCATCTCGGGTTCGACACCCACGCCCTGGTTCCTGCCGCCCTCGGTGGTGGTGGGGCTCTCCGCAGAATTGCCGGCTCCGACACAGCTCGGTCACCGGTCAGGTGGTGAATCTGAGGCCTGTTCTTGTCAGTGTAGTTTGGACATTGGGAGAAAACAAGGCAGGATTGTCGAGTGGTTGGTTTAATAACCCACGGCGTAGAAAGCCCACCAGAAGCTACAGGCGGGTCCTGGGTGGCGGCTGCGAGCAGAGTGGAGCGGGACTTGCGTCGGGTCCCTGGTCCTCACCTGCTGGGTGTGAGTTCGATGAGGCAACGTGATGGGGTCGGAGAGCTCCGCCCAGGAAGCATCTTAGCTTCGGAGACACGGGCGCGATTTGGACTTCATTAACCTGTGCAGTCAGAAACCGGGTTTGCTGCCAACAGAGTTTGTGGTGGAAAGGGAGGAGGTCACTGCCGAGCCCGGGCTGCGTGTTCTGTGTGGCCAGTGCCCTGGCAGGACCCCTCCCAGCCCCTCAGCCTGATGTGTTCGGCCAGCGCCTGTTCAGCCCAGGTCCCGCAGCTGCACACACCAACGCATAAAGATGTTTGTCCGGGAAGAGTCAAGGGACGGACAGAGCATCAGGTAACCTGTGGTGGGACCCAAGTGTGTCCTGGATCCTGCACCGAGCGCCCTAGACCCCCGCAGATAGGAGCACTGGGGGCATCTTTGTTCCAGTACGTAGGCTGAAGCCCAGACCCTGGCTCAGCCCAGACTCACAGGTTGGGCACTGGGGGCATCTTTGTTCCAGTGGGATGTGGCTGCTGGGCTCCTGCTGGGGCCCTGGATAGGCTCAGGACGGGTGGTTACCAAGGGGCCTCCCTGTGGGTAGGGGCTGGAGCTTTTAGCGCCCGCACATACACCTGAGGGGCCGGAGGGCCTGCAGGCTGGGTTTGTCGTCCACGCGGGTGAGGGAATCCCAGGACTGCAGTGCAGCCGTGTGGACGAGGCGCCTGCCCCTCCGTGGACCTCGGCTGTGTCACTTCTGGTGTCACAAGTGGGTGGGGGTCAGAAGTGCCCCAAGCCCTGCAGGTCACCCTAGGACATGCACTGCCCTTTCTAGCCAGCCACTCAGAAGCACCGGCCTTCGGAGTCGGGGCAGCCCCGGGACCGTCTGGACCTCCGGACAGATGGCGGCCCTGGGTAGAGGACGTCCAGCTGGTGCACTCCGGGGCCGTGGCATGGCAGATCCTTCCCGCCAGGCGGCCAAAGCCCCGGGAGAACCCAAGGACAGGTTGGGCTCCGTGGGCCTGGCTGCTCCATTTCCAAGGGAATTTCTGCAGTGGTTGTAGGGTCACCTCCAGCTCCGGAAGTAACAAATGAACAAATACCAAAACCCAGCGTGCTTCCACGGCGCTTTTACGCGTGACTCGAAGACCTGGACGTGGGCCTGCCAGCGTTCTGAGCAGCTTCACAGAGTAGATGGTGCCCCATAGAGGCTCGCTTGACCCTCCTGCCCCACGCCCCGCAGGGTGTCCACGGGCCAGCCGAGGCGCCTCTGGGTTCACACAGGCTCTGGCCGGTGACATCAGGGTGGCCACCATCCAGGGTGGCCGTCCTGTAGCTGCTGAAAGCCTTCCCCCACCCAGGGCCAGCTGTTGGTACAAGGTTAAGGTGCTGGATCCCACGACTGACCAGTTCGAGCCACAGACTCTTCGACTTGAAAACACACCGGGTGCAAGTACGTGTTCACGCCCCAAATCCTGAGAGAATGGAGAAGGGACTGCCGCATGGCCGTCCTCCCTCCCCCTGGGGTGCTTTCTCACCTCTCCAGCGAGGGCACATGCCCTACGGCAAACTATGTACACACACACACACACACACATGTACATACAGATAGAGATGTACGTACGTGGTGTTAGAAACACTGTTTAAAGTCACGTCTATGTACATTAAAATAGAAATGCTAAATTCATGATCTGAATACAAATAATTTACATCGCTACATTTTATATTAATTTAAAAATAACACAGTGAATTATCCTTGGGACGTTTTTACACCCGTCCTGTATGTCTAACACTGTGGCACTGTTACTTTTCTGAAGAGTACTTCTTTACAGGACAGTACGGGTCACTAGGGAAGCCGTGGCACGTTTTTGCATAGTCAGAAGAATTGGGTCGTGACGTCCAGACCACCTAATAGTGCAAGCTCAGAACCAGGGCTGCTACCTAAGGGGCGTCCCCGCCACCGATTCTTAAATGTCGATGTTAAGCATCGAACACTCGGCTCCAGGATTTCCTCAGGGACAGTCCTCGCTTCCACTGAGAAGACGTTTCTTTGACAAATATTTTTACAACACAAAACCTATCAAATAAATTACCTCTACTTAAGCTTTCTTTTAACACCTTACCAAATGTAGATCTTGCAAAATTAGAAGCTTTCTCAATTTTATGCGAACAGAGAAGATCAATTTAATTAAACATAAGCACTGTATCAATAGATTCTCCTTCTGGGTCAGGGCATTTCAAAATACAATCCCAAAATAAAATCCAGTCTGGCCTGTCAGTTTGCAGGCTCCTAATTTAATCGACCCTGTCCCTGGTATGCTGCTGTGGGGATAAGCTTCTGCGTCTTTCTTTCCAGCTTTTTTCCCCCAATGATTGCAATTTGCAAAAAGCTTCAGAAAGCCGAGGTTTGTGACGCCCGATTGTTTGAATACTCTGATTAAAGATTTCCGTCTCATTACGAACAGGAATGAAATCAGAATGTCAAGTTCTCACAAAATAGCTCAGTGTCACAGGAGGGCACGTAGGTGGATTTGTAAAGTAGTTCTTCACATACACAAGCATTCTAAAATGCCACCCCGTCAGCACCAGACAGGAAGTGCACGCAGCTCAGCGAGCTTCCCCTCATCCCAACGTCACTGGAAGGTCCCTTCACTCTCCACATGTAGGAATTCACCCGAACTTTTACAGTTCTCCATGGGAGACAGAAAACCAGACACCTCCAACTGGGCCTTCGCACGGTCTCAGCCGGCCCCAACCATGAGCCTGCAGGAACAGGGAGCCCTCGGTGCAAACCAGGACCTTCCCACTGGGGTGTGGCCTCAGCTGCTGCAGCACCGGCAGGCCCCGGCAGCCAGAACTTCTTACCTGTTATCTGTTGGCGTGCCCTGGCCCACAGGACAGTCGAACAGGTTTCAGCGCAGAGAGACGACAGTGTTACGGCTGTTCAGGGCCGTCTGGAGACGCCGTGGTGTCACAACTCTTCAGGGTTTTCAGGGTCGTCTGGCGATTGTGGGCCAGGGATCGTGGTTATATACATGGTGGTGGGCAGTGATTGGTTGAATGAAGGATTGTAAGAGGTGGGTTATGATTGGTTGCTTTGTGGACCAATCACGAGGTGCCGGAAATGCAAATCTGAGGGATTCTAAGCTCACCGATTTGCTGTGGAAAGTGGCCAATCAGAGTGTGGTGTTGAAGGTGAGGTTTTGAAGGGGAGCCAATTGTGGCCTTTGGCGTGTAATTGCTCTCTGAGAAACCGGACCTAAGGGCTTCCTAAGATGGCGACAGTAAGAGACTCATGAAGATGCCTCGGCACACTCGGTGGTCCGACGTGTATAACAGATCCTCCCGGAACTTAGCAGCTCAAAGCAACACGCGGTTATTACATCGCTGTTTCCGCGCACAGCAGTCTGCGGCCTCGCGTCTCTCCGGAGGGCCGTGGAGGTGTGGCCGGACTGCGTCCTCTGGGGGCTGGGTAGGGGTGGTCTGCTCCCAGGCTACTGGCAGGACCAGGCCCACCGATGCTGAGTGGACACTGGTTCCTGTCATGCGGCTTCTTCCCAGGGCTGGCCGCAGCATGGCAGTTTGCTTCCCCAGAGCGAGAGATCGGGAAGAGCAAGAGGTGTGGGAAGACAGTGCCAGATGGAAGCGGGCCCTCATCAGCCCCTGGTCGGGGAGGCTCCCCAGATGCCTGGCAGCTCAAAGCGCATTCCGCTCCCAGAACTCGCCAAGTCACTGACCTTCCAACGGCTCGTAGCTGGGATCCGTGCGGGATGAGCTGCTTTCATCAGCCCACACAGGAGAGGCATCGAGGTTGGGAGCCGAAACCCGCAGGCCACCCTCCCGCTGTCATGTCCTGGGGCTCGCGCTGCTCCTCCCACGGACCTCACTTGGAAACGGCTTTGCAGTTAGAATTGGTGAACGCGCAGTCATTAGGGCGGCCCTCGCTGACCACGGATAGTGTCCCTGTAAGGGGGCCTCTGAGCACAGATGTGAATGGATGGGAGGGGCGTGAAGGCAGTGGCCATCTGCATGTCAAGGGGAGAGGCTTGGAACACCCCCGCCCGCCAGCCTCGGTGGAAGCACCAGGCCGCCCGGCTGGGCTGTGGCTCTCAGAAGTGTGAGCCGCCCACTGGTGCAGCGTGAAACCACTCCGTTTGCGCCTATTTGCACGCAGGCCCTGCGGACTAACACATGGGGCGAGACTCGAGGGGTGTCTGCAGGCTCCGGGGAAGACCCGTCCCCTCTGCCAGCCTCTCGGCAGCTGCGCTCCTCGGCCCAGGGCGCCTCTCTCCACCCCTGCTGAGGTCGTGTGGGCCCTGCTCCTCTGCCTCCTCTTGTGAAGACCCTGTGATCAGGTCCCCTCATCCCTCACTGTGGATAACCCAACAATCGCCCCAGAAACGGTCTCTAAGTTGGTCACATCTGCAGAGTCCCTTTGGCTGTGGCAAGTGACAGTCCCAGGTCCTGGGATGCAGCTGTCCCCACCACACTCGTGTCGGGCTGCGATGGCCCTGGCGGTCCCTGTCCCCGTGTCCCACACCCACGGCAGGGCTCCTCGGGAGGAGCAGGAGCCAGTGCATGCTGGGAAAGTCGCCGGAAGGGGCCGGCCTCCCCGTGCTGTGCTCCCGCGCCCTTCAGGACGCCCATGACTAGTAACACCCGCGGGGTCCAGGAGGCTCGCTGGGCGTGGGCGAGCATTTCCGTGGCAAAGGGGCAGGGTCAGCAGGTCTGGGGAGCTGCAGGTGAGGTTGCCCAGGAAGGCAGAACTAAGAATCTGGAGGAGCCGGTGGGCGACGGTTTTCGGTTTTGAGGTAGGTTCGGGGTCAGGGCAGCCTTGTCTCAGGGGCGCGGCCCGGCTGCTCCCCGGGCCGCGTGGGAAGTGGCACTGAGCGTCGCAGACAGCTGTCTGAGCAGCGCGGCCGTCTCGCCCCTCGCCCTCTGCCCAGGCCGGCCTCGCTCGGTACAGAGCCCCGCTTCCCACGCCGCCTGCACCCAGGGCCGGGCTCTGCTGTAATCCGTGTAGCAGCCCTTCCCGCTCACGGGGCTCTCCTGGGCGTCGCTGGCCATGACACCTGGTAGCCGTGGCTGCCGAGAAGTGCCGTCTCGCGTCCTCCCCCTAATTACTTCCCCGGTACGATGACCTCCCCGTCGATCTCCCCCCGGGAGCTGGCCGCGGCTCAGGTGAAGCTCGAAGCCTCCCGGCCCCGGCGCTGCTAACGACGTGAACAGGTAAGAACGTGTCCCTGCTCGGGTACCGGAGTCAGAGGGAAGGTGGTGCACGTGCCATCCGGGCGGCGCCGAGCACAGCCCAACTCCGGAGCTGTGGGCGGGAAGGCAGCGGAGCCGGACCGGGTGAGGTCAGCAGATCCGGCCCGAGAAGCATCGGCAGGACCTGCCGTTCCCCAGGGTGTTCTCCACCCCGGGCTCCTCTCCCTTCTCCTCCCCTCACGGGTGCCGCAGGAGCTTGCTCCAATTCCTTCGAGAAAGCCAGAGCCCGGGGTCTCTCCTTCCTAGTGTCATCCCTGGGGTAATGCGCACCTCCTCTGGGTCACGAGCTCCCCTAAGCCAGGCGTGAGTACCTCGTTTTAGTCCGCAGAGATCCGTTCAGGAGAGACAGCCAACAGCCCTGGCCAGAGAGGCCCAGTGAGCTGCTGACCATGCCTGGAAGCGCTCCGTGTTTCCGAGCGACACATGGGGACGTCTGTCCTTTCATGTCACATCCACCCGTGATGCCTGAAGCCTTGGAGCTGTCTCGTGACCATGAGGGGAGAGTGCAGAGGGAAAACCCACACTCGCTGAAAGGCAGAGCGGAAGCTGGGAGGAGCCTCGTCTCGCAATGCCTCCGTTGACCGTGGGATAGTCCCGGGCAGGAAGATCTTGTTCTGAGGTCCGAGCTGTTTGGAGGCGGGTGACGGGAAGGACCCCTAGGTGCACTGCTCCTTTCTGGAGGGGACTGTCCCCTGACCCGGCCTGGCATGCTGTGCTCAGTCTGGACAAGTCGGAAGGCCAGCTAGTTGTCTTTTCTGCTTTCCAGCTGCAACCCCTTGGGGTGGGGTCCTGCTGACCACAAAGTCTTCCCTCTCCTCCAGGCCCGGGAAGCAACCTTTGGTACCACGAGGAGAAGCAGGCAGAGACACAGGGGTGACACCTGGAGGACAGGGTGGAGCATTTACTGTTCCCCCCCCCCCCCCCCGCCGCTCTGGCTACGACAACCTTGGGCTATGTCACAGCCGGGGGGAGGGGGGGCGTGGGCAGGGCGTAATGGGGACAGCAGACACAGTCACTGCCAGGCCACACTCGTAGGTGACGGCTTGGAGACCCGAGAGCCTTAGGCTGTCCTTGACCAGAGGGATAAGATCGCAGCTTCTCTCAGCCCAAACTGCTTCGTAGTAAAAAGGAAATGACTTTATTGGACGCAGACCTCGAGTCGTCCACTTTCATCCCTCAAAGCATTGTACGTGCTCCCAATGTCCGGAAGGCAGGCGTCAGCGGCCCGCGGCCCTTTGAAATGGGAAAGTGTATTCTCTCCCCGGTGATGACGGTCCGACCTGCGGGGTGCAGGGTGCGGTGGGGTGGGGAGCCATCCTCCGCTTTCCCTCAGAGGAGGGCACTCGTGGGACGGGGGAGCAGGAGGTCCCATGTGGGGTGGGCCGGGACCAGGATGTGAGGGTGGGGAGGCTGGGAGCGCTGGAAGGGACCCCCCACAGCCTGCAGGTGGCCTTGTCCCATCCGTCCTCCCTCCTGTCCCCGGGTCCTGGGGCAGCGGGCTCCCCAGCCACAATTCACGCGGCTTCCACCGTAGTTGTCACCGATCAGCCCTGCGGAGCTGAGTTCCCGGCCTGGCTCGCTCCCTGCACGGGGCAGCTCCATGTGCTGGTCTGTCCCTGCTGCGCTCCCAGCGTGCTGCTAGGACATCACCACTGCCCTGCAGGACGCCGCTGCGTCCCCTCCGGTCCCCGGGTCAAGGGCCTGCTTTCCGCCTGCCGCTCTGCCTCTCTCTGGCAGTTCACAGAAATGGCGCTCCCCTGCCTGGCTGGCTTCTTCCCCCAAGGGGGCTGTGCTCGGGGTTCCCTGTAGCAAGGCTGCCAACAGCGTCAGTGGAGCTGTCGTTGTGGCTTCCTTACTCCGTGTCCGCGGTCGGTGAGGCCCGGGCCTCAGAGGCTTCCCTCCTCTCAGTGCGCTTCCACGCTCCCCCGGGCTGAGGTCTGTGCACGGGACGCGCCTTACTGCGGGAGCCTAACTAACCCCCGGCTGCCTAGGAGCACCGGCCAGTGTCTTTCCTCTCTCTGGAGAAAGCAAAGAGGGGGTAAAGGACCCGGTAACCTGGACACGATTGCAAACTTGTCCGAGCCAGGTGTCTCAGGGCGCCCAGCTGAGCTCCGCAGGGGCCTGCCCCCACCACAGAGGTCAGCTGCTGCATTCCGGCCCCACACTGGGGTGCAGGCTTCCCAAAGCAAAGGAGAGCAAGCTTCGCGCTGCTGCATAGTAAGGAAAACATTGCTTCTGCAGCTTCGGGCAAAATTGACAAAACTGACAGCGAAAGACAGGAGACATTTCCTTCCTTGGTAATGAGGCTGGTTCTGCCTCGGGTGAAGACTGCTTCCAACCCATTTATGACGTCCCGCCTAAGTGCACCTGAGCAGGAGAGACCGCAGCGCCCGCCTCGCCGCCTGCACGGGCCTTTCCTTCATTCTGGGGCCCGGGCGGGAGTGAATTACAGGGTTATTCAAAGCTGCTTCGCCATAAGCCTTGACAAAGTCTTTCGTTTAAAGAAAAAAATGTCCTTCATTCCAGAGTCTCACCGTTGGCTGTGGTGGGAATGCCGGCAATCTGTCTACACCGCTGCTGTGTCCGTGCACCGGGTGATTGGAAAGGTTTCCCCGGCCAGGGAAGGGGAATCGACCCTGCTGCAAATCCCTGGGACAGGATGGCTGTCGCGCGGTGGGATCCCATGGAAGCAGCGTTGGAGCCCGGGCGTGGCGTCAGTGACAGGGCTTCCAGCTCACCCCGGCACCTGGGCACGCTTTCGGAGGCTGGAGACCGTCCGTAAGGCTGTCTGCTGGGCAGAGGGTGCAGGCGCTGAGAGAGATTTTCTCACGCAGGGCCATGTCTCTCGCCCTTTCGGGCAGGCACACATGCGGCCAGTGTTTCTCCAGCTGCGCGCCCCAGTCTCAAGAACAGGGTGGGGGAGAAGGGCTGGTGGGGTGAATTCTCACTCTCTCCCTCTGGGTCTCTGTGGCAAGCGCATGCACCCTATGGCACACACAAAAAGGGAAAAAATAGCAAATCCCAGGCAACTTCTTTTTCACCCACAACATTCCTGACCTTTTTGGCCTCAGATTTACTGAAACTTAACTCCCTTAGCACCTGAAGTCACCACTCGGTGGTTTTTAGGAGCCTCCTAGCCTCTGGGCGTCCTCACCGCCTCAGCGCGGTCACTCCCCAGTTCCCAGCCCCAGCCCTGGCGGCCGCTCACCTGCTCGCCACCCCCGAGTCTGCCCGTCCTTGGCAGTGGACAGGGAGGCGACACTCACGGCCTGGGTCTGCTGCTTGCACTCGGCATCCCGTGTCGTGGTCATCCGTGTAGTCACGGGGCCTGTGCTCCGTCCGCTGTCCCCGGGTGGACTGCCGTCTGCCCGTACCCACCGGTGCGGACACGTGTATCCTTTGTGCCGGCTGTGTACACGTTGTCACGTCGTGCGTCTCCATCCCTCTGCGGTGTATACCCAGGAATGGGAGGGCTGGCGGCCTGCCGGCTGTGTAACCTGTGAGGGACAGCCAGCTGCTCCCCGCGGCAGTGCGGGCGGCCCCAGGCTCTCCACCCTCCAGCCCTTGTTAGGGTCTGTCTAATAAAGCCGTCCTGTGGTCTGAGGCAGCGTCTCCTAATGGCGCACATTCCTTGTAACGTGAACAGCCTGTTGTGGGGACAGGAGACCAGCATGTCCGCGTCCCTAGGAGTGTACCTGCCGGTCTCCGTGCTCCGTCACATGAGGCTGTCAGCACCCAGTCTGCCTTGGCCCTCGGCCAAACGTTTAAGTCATGCTCGAGCCTCAGCATCATGAGCAGCACCACAGTGGATTCCCAGACGCCCGTGCTTTTCCCCAGCAGGGCTCCCAGGAGACGCCCACCTTCTGCAGGGAGTGGGTCCCCCTCTGCCTGTGCGGCAGGTGCTGGTTACCACGGCCCCTCTGCAGCAGGGGTCTCTGTGGGCAGGGCGTGCTCAACATGCACATGCTAACTCCTCGGAACAAGCGTCTGCAGAAACCCGAAAGGGACTCAGAGGGGAGCATGGTATCAGTGTTGTCCCTGAACCAGGAGGACCTAGCCTCAAGTGCCATCGACTTGCCTTCTGTCCGGAAAAGGGATTATTTGCGCCCATGAAGGCTGAGCACAGCTGGGGGTGCTGTCGGCTCTGCCCGGGGAGTGCAGGCAGACGTTCCGCGTCACTGACCCGCCGACATCCCAGAGCCGCCCCCTGGAAGCCCATCGGTTTATATAACAGGGAAGATCCCGTTATCTTCTCCAAGCACCTTTGGCCAGCACAGTGGTGGGGGTAAGAGAGGGAGTGGAGATTTGCCATTTTTTTAAAGACAAGATGTCAAAACCACAGAAATATTGATTCGGACAAAGAGTGTCCGAACGTAGTCTCAGGTTGTTTACTTATGCTGCATCCTCTTTGTGGAACCCACCTACAACCCACAAGCCCCCACTTCTGCATGTCCCACCTTTTTGGGCCAGACCAATGGAAATCTCTTCACTAATTTTGTCTGTCACTCTCAAAATCAGATAAAAGGAACCCCTGTACCTGATCACCCCGAGAAAGGCATGTTTGCCTCCTCTCCGGGCCTAGGTCACTCATATTCTGCTTAGAAATAAACCACGTTAATTATTAACTTTTTAGAGTTGGTTATTTTCTGGCGCCGTGCCGGCTGTGTAACCTGTGAGGGACAGCCAGCTGCTCCCCGCGGCAGTGCGGGCGGCCCCAGGCTCTCCACCCTCCAGCCCTTGTTAGGGTCTGTCTAATAAAGCCGTCCTGTGGTCTGAGGCAGCGTCTCCTAATGGCGCACATTCCTTGTAACGTGAACAGCCTGTTGTGGGGACAGGAGACCAGCATGTCCGCGTCCCTAGGAGTGTACCTGCCGGTCTCCGTGCTCCGTCACATGAGGCTGTCAGCACCCAGTCTGCCTTGGCCCTCGGCCAAACGTTTAAGTCATGCTCGAGCCTCAGCATCATGAGCAGCACCACAGTGGATTCCCAGACGCCCGTGCTTTTCCCCAGCAGGGCTCCCAGGAGACGCCCACCTTCTGCAGGGAGTGGGTCCCCCTCTGCCTGTGCGGCAGGTGCTGGTTACCACGGCCCCTCTGCAGCAGGGGTCTCTGTGGGCAGGGCGTGCTCAACATGCACATGCTAACTCCTCGGAACAAGCGTCTGCAGAAACCCGAAAGGGACTCAGAGGGGAGCATGGTATCAGTGTTGTCCCTGAACCAGGAGGACCTAGCCTCAAGTGCCATCGACTTGCCTTCTGTCCGGAAAAGGGATTATTTGCGCCCATGAAGGCTGAGCACAGCTGGGGGTGCTGTCGGCTCTGCCCGGGGAGTGCAGGCAGACGTTCCGCGTCACTGACCCGCCGACATCCCAGAGCCGCCCCCTGGAAGCCCATCGGTTTATATAACAGGGAAGATCCCGTTATCTTCTCCAAGCACCTTTGGCCAGCACAGTGGTGGGGGTAAGAGAGGGAGTGGAGATTTGCCATTTTTTTAAAGACAAGATGTCAAAACCACAGAAATATTGATTCGGACAAAGAGTGTCCGAACGTAGTCTCAGGTTGTTTACTTATGCTGCATCCTCTTTGTGGAACCCACCTACAACCCACAAGCCCCCACTTCTGCATGTCCCACCTTTTTGGGCCAGACCAATGGAAATCTCTTCACTAATTTTGTCTGTCACTCTCAAAATCAGATAAAAGGAACCCCTGTACCTGATCACCCCGAGAAAGGCATGTTTGCCTCCTCTCCGGGCCTAGGTCACTCATATTCTGCTTAGAAATAAACCACGTTAATTATTAACTTTTTAGAGTTGGTTATTTTCTGTGGACATGAGTAAACAAGGCCTTTTCTTTCTTTCTTCATCTTTTTGATTTTGCCAAAGAGTGCATGCACTCACGAGAGACAGGACAGGGGAAGGACAGGAAGAAAGGACCCCCAGGGCATGTGGTCCTACCAAGGCCTTGTGTCCTCCATGTCCCCATCCTGCTGGTATTCTGGGCACACATGTACACATGCCCAGAGTGCTTTTCAAGCTGCCAGCTCTGAGACTTGAACCATGCCATTGGCCACGTGGGATCCATTATCCTTAACCCCCCTGCCATGGGCTGGTCCTAAGCTTTTGCTTCATGCCTGTACATGTCTACGGTGCCAGGAGTGAGCGGGGAGCAGGTGTTTATAATCACTCCCACCCCAGGTACCTGCCGGCAGCTGGGGGGTGATCAGGGGTTATCGGGTGAGCAGGGGTGTGACTTCCGACCTCCCAGTCCTCAGTCTGCTGCCATTTGTGAGCCTGCGCTGTCCACCCTCTGCTTGCCCCAGCTGAGACCCCGTTCCTCTCTGGGTCATGGGGTCAGATAGCGTCGGGGGAAGGAGCTCACCCCGGAAGGTGGACCTTTGGCCCAGACAGCGTCAGACACCCTCGGCCGCAGCGAGGACTTGGGACATGGTACTCCCACCATAGAAAGGTAAACTGAGGCAGAGGGTGTAAAGCAAGAGGGTTTGTGTGAGACACCCCGGCTGCCCGGGCCGCACACTGAGGTCTGAGTCCTGAGCGGTGTCAGAGGCAGACGTCGGGCAGGAGGGGAGGGGAAAGCGGGGATGGCTGTCCTTCCGGGACCGTTACCCTCGGCCACCAGGGCTTTGTCAGAAGAAGCTTTGTTTTCAAACTTGGATCTCTGCCTCCGAGAGCCTATTTTCTACATGCAGGTGTGGACGGAAGGGCCCGTGAGACCCGGAGTTCACTCTGCCTCGCCGTCACCGGGGTTAATACTGACACCCAAGCTTCAGAGGGAGTGCCCTTGTCCCCGCTCCCCTCCTCCACCTCCGGGGCTCAGGAAACAGTGATATGCACGCTCCGGGACCCGGGCTTCCGCGTGGACTGCTCGGCACAGGCTGTGTGCGTGCGGTGGACCTGCTGGGAAAACAGAGCCAGCAAGGCTCTGGCCTCTCCTCCCGGCTCACAGGAGGCCGCGGCCAAGGCCTGGAAGCCGCAGGAAGACTAGCCTGCTCGTCCTAGTCCAGGAGGGAGAGGAGACACGCGGGCCCTCTGCCCGGGGGCCGGGTCTACACACGTGTGATGAGCCCGTCCCTAAGAGAGGGACCGCTGTGCCCCGGGACGTGGGGCCTGTACTCTTTGATGTGGAACTCAAGTATGGAGGTGGCGGCTTCGAAGCAATTAGAGCGCATTAACATTTTTATGAAACACACATTCGGACAGCACGGGGAGAAGCACCTGAGCGTGGGCCTGGCGGCGGTCTCCATGGCAACGCGGCTTTCCTAGTCCCAGGCTAACCGCTGGCCGTCACTCAGCGGCAGGCCCTTGGGACTCGCGCCCACCCTGCTGATCAGAATGGCCGGCCAGCGCTCCTCCTCCAGTGTGCCCTCAGCAAACTGCGTCCCAGAGGGAGACGTCGAGCTGGTTTGCTCTGAACGAGGCTGGAGAAGGCGCCTCGAAACATCCCAACGTGTCTCCTGGGCCATTCCCATCAGTACGGGAAAGACGACGCTGGCCCGGGGTGCAGACTCCCATGCTGGTGAGTGCTATCCACCTCACCCCGCGGTCATGGGCCCAACGTGAGCGTGTTAAGCGGGTCCCCATGCCACTTGGGCATCTGAAAGTCATGACTGTGACCGTTAGGCGGATGTGTCCCTGACCTCACCTCGGCACTGTGGGACCACCCAGAAAGCAGGCTCTGGCTCTGGGAGTGTGCAGAACACAGCGGGACCCTCACAGCACCCACGTTGTTCTCCTGCACCAGGGTGCGTGGACAGCAGGCCTGCACAGGCAGCTCTGCCCAGGCCTTGCGAGCAGCCACTCCCCAGTCTGCTCTGGGCCAGGGCTGGGCACACAGACCTTGTGGTCCTCCCGTCCTGCTGCCTGTGCGGAGGGCCTGGGTCCAGGTCCCTGGAACCTGACTGAGAAGGGGGCCCAAGCCCTGGTGGACACGTTAGCCAGCTGGACTGCCCTCCTGAAACGCCACACCCTGGGTGATTCGGCACAGGGGTGCATGTTCTCCTGGCTCTGGAGGGCAGTCAATACCACAGTCTGCTTTAGAACCTTCCGGCCACCCCCAGAGAAAGCCCGTACCCTTAGCCGTCCTTACCTCTGCCTCGTTCTCGCCGTTTTCCTTTCTGTCTGTTCGGACGAGTCCCATCAGTGGGGTCGGACAGGATGGGGCCTTTTGTGTCCGGCTTCTTGTCACTTAGTGTGGTATCTCAGGGCTCGCCCATGCCGGGGCTGTGGCAATGCGACCCCTCGCGATGGCTGGCGGATAGATGCCCACGGTTTACCCTCTCACCATGGGTGAGCACCGTGGGCTGCTCTGAGTGGCGGGCCGTGGAACAGCGCATGCTCCGTGGACTCCTGTCACCCGTGGGGTACACACCTAGGAATGAATCTGAGCTGGGGTCTAGCTGGTCCTCCAGCGGCCGTGTGTAACCAGCAGCTACGGGAGACGCAAAGCTCCGCTGGCCGGCTCCGGGGTGACGCTGTCGACCTGGCCACCCAGATGTGGCCGTGCCCCTGGCTCACCTTGGCCATGTGCTCAAACACGTCCACCTCCGCACAGGCCTGGCATGCGGCAGCCTTCGCTGTCCTCCTCGTCATTGCCATGTCACTCCCATCCCCACCCCGGGGCTTCTCACCTGGGGTTTTGTGTCACCTGTCTTGGCCCCAGAAGCTCTACTGAGGGTGTGTTCTGTGGAGCGGCGGCATCGGCCTCACCAAAGAGCCGCCTGGATCCCAGCATCTCAGCTCCGCCCCCAGACAGCTGAGTGACATCTGCCATGGACAAGACCCGCAGGCGGCGCTGTGCACGGCAGGCTGGAGCAGACTGGTTTTCGCAGGCAGGCTTGCACGGCCGGCTCCACGTGACGCAGAGCTCGGACAGAGACGCGGCTCGTGGGGTCCCAGCTTCCTGGACACCACAGCTCCAGCCCTGCCACGACCTCGGGACAAAGCCACTAGTTTATGCCCGGTTGGATGCGTCTAATAACTGGCCCTGACATCCCTGGGTCTCTGAGACGGAGCAGGCACTGTTACTGAGACTGGAGCTCGCAGTTCTGTAAGGATCGGGAAGAGCTGAACATGTCCTGGAGAGAATTTGAGAGAGGTCCAGTTCGTCAGCTTGTTTGTAGTGACAGGTCACTCTATAGGGATTTTACAGACACCTTCTTTTTCAGCAACCCATATTGATCATAGTAAATTTGGAAAATAAATGAAAGCATGAAAATAAGTTACTCAGAAGAAAAACTGCCCCAAAATAGCTAGTTTTTCTCTGCAAATACACTTACGTGTGCACGCAGACGTGCACACACTTTCACAATGTGAGATTAGGACCGGATGGCATACACTGTTCTGTGAACTACTTTTCCCTCAAAATATTTTAAAAACATTTTTCAGATCCACAGAGTAATTTTTTTTTACTTTAAAGTCACCAAAATAACCCTGGTTGTGGCAGGCGGAGTAACGGCCCCCGAGATGCCCACGTCCCAGTCCTTGGGCCTGTGAATATGTCACTGCGTGCCAAGGTGACTGCATGGTCACATCAAGGTCAAAACCAGCTGGCCTTGAAGGGGAGAGGACCCTGGAGTAACGGGGTGTGACTGATGCAGTCGTGGGGTCCTCATAAGAGGGACGGGGACAAGAGTCAGGGGTGACGGCAGATGCAGAAAACCACGAGGCCGGCGTGGACGACGCAGCAGGGTCGCTCCCCGAGACGGTGTGAGGCGGCTGCAGAAGGCGGAGTAACGGCCCCCGAGATGGCCACGTCCCAGTCCTTGGGCCTGTGAATATGTCACTGCGTGCCAAGGTGACTGCATGGTCACATCAAGGTCAAAACCAGCTGGCCTTGAAGGGGAGAGGACCCTGGAGTAACGGGGTGTGACTGATGCAGTCGTGGGGTCCTCATAAGAGGGACGGGGACAAGAGTCAGGGGTGACGGCAGATGCAGAAAACCACGAGGCCGGCGTGGACGACGCAGCAGGGTCGCTCCCCGAGACGGTGTGAGGCGGCTGCAGACCTGGTGATGGAAGGAGGGGCGACTCCGGGAGCCGGGAGGCAAGGAGGCAGAGTCTCCCCAGAAACCCCGGACCACCCATCCTGCCCAGTTGCTTCTAGCCCAGGGAGACCCACTTTACACTTTGTCCATAACCGTAAAACAGTTCACGTGTGTGCTTCACATTTTCAGAGGGCATCCGTGCTCAGCGGAGAGACCGCGAGAAGGCGAGGGAGAAGCACTTCCCTGGGGCGTGGCCACACTGCAATCCTGCCTCCACTTCTCCCTCGCTTTTTAGAGAGAGACTTTTGCTATAGGGTGCTTGCCAGAGAGACAGAAAGCAAGAGATCACTCCCAGGGGGGATGGCCATGCCACAGTTCTCCTCTGAGATTTTGAGCATGCATGCACATGCACCTGATGTGATTTTTAACCTGCTGGGTCCAGGACTTAAACTGTAGTCGACTACGTGGGAGTCCAGCAATGTAGCCATGACACCACCTGCTGGCCCCTCCATTTCTTCCTCTTGTTGGGATTTGGGGCACGCATGCATGTGTACTGGCATGTTTTCTAAGCCACCAGGGCTGGGATTTGAACCCCGCCATCGGCCATGCTCCATCCAGGTTCCTTCCCACCAGGCCATGGGTCTAGCCCATGTTGTGTTGCTTTAAACCAAGTCTAAGATGACTTGTTACAGCAGCAACAGGAATGCGAAGAGCTGCCAATGAACAGCAATGTTCTTCTGCAGCCACCCCACTCTTCTCGGAAACCTCTTCCTTAAAGCAATCATGTTCAAACATTTCTGAATTCAGCCATTTGATGAATTGTCCAAAAAGCATCATTTGCACATACTGTGCTTTTGTCGTCGTTTTACCAGCTTCAGACGTCACGTGAGGATTCACGGCTGTACAAAATATTGTCCCATACCACCCTGCCAGCATTCTCACCCCTCCTCACAACTGTCAACGGTCACATCATTATTTTTAGCTTCTCACCTGGTCACGTATATACATTTAAAGAACATGTAGGAGTCTCTACCTGATTCACCAATATTGGATTTTGTCTTGTGGTGCCCACACAGCAGACAGGAGTACAAACGTCTCTGATGTGATTTTTGCCTCTCTTTTCTTTATTTTGTTAACTGACCCTTGGTTTGATAACACAAAGTTCAATCATTTTTACTCTTTGAAGAAAAAAAACTCCTGATCCCAAACTCTCTGTCCTAACTGAAAGTCAATTCTAAAGGTTAAAAATGAGCATAAAATGCGAAGATTATTGTGCAAATTAAATTTTCCCCTCCATCATAGACAGTTCTAGAATATAACGGTCCCTTCTTTGGTTCTAGTAAAAAGATGTCACACCATCAACTAAATAGCAGTCACGCTTAGTCTCAGAAGGCACATGGACACAGAAGAGATGTTGACGCCCCTCGATCAGGAAGCGGGGGACCTGATCGCTTACCCACGAACACGAGCTTCTTACAGTTTACTGTTCTTCCTGGGATAACCGCTGGCTTCCCCTTTCTTAGAGAGAAGAAATCAGCATTTTCATCACTTTGCTAAGATCTTCCAGTTTGGGGACCAGCAGATGGCATAATGGTTATGTTGCTGGACTCCCACATGGCTTACTGTGGTTTGAGTCCCAGACCAAGTGGCTTGAAACACACACTGAGTGTGTGTGTTTGTGCATATGCCCCAAATCCTGAGAGAAGAATGGGGGAGAAGGGATTGTGGTGTGGCCATGCTCTCTGGGGGTTGATTTCTTGGTTTCTATCTGTCTGTCACTATCTTTCCAGCGAGTGCACATGCCCTATTAGCAAAAATCTCTCTCCAGTTTTTTTCTCATTCCCATCTTTCAAAATAAATCATTCTGTTTTTCTTCTTGATATTCCTTACTGAGACATCGACAGCTTCTTCCACGGTTTACTTTTCCTCTCAATTTACCTCTTCAATGAATGAGAGAGAGAGAGAGACAGAGAATGAGAACTCGCGACAATGAGAGAGAGAGAGAGACAGAGAACGAGAACTCGCGACATCGTCTTGACATCACAATCCACCCTCAAACATCAGCCAACCCCAGACCACAGGCAAGCGTACACAGGTGTGCTCAGGGGGTCGCCAGACTGGAACCAGGAACCGTCCCACATGGGACTATCTTGCTGGTCACGTTTGCCTCCGTGCCACCACCCGGCCCCTCTTGCTTCACCTTGAACAGTGCCTCCTGCCCACTGTAGACATGCTACCTGTCTTCCCATCAGTTGGCTGGGCTGTTCCCAAAGTCCCTCGGACCCCACTTCTGCAGGGTCTCCATCCTCATGTTCATCCACAGTACCTTTTTGCAAATGGGTAGGATTTGGGGGGGGCTTTCATGTCTAAAGATGACCACTTTTTCTCACTCTGCCCCTCTCTGGCTAAATAAAAAAAAAATTACAAAAAATAAAGTTTAAAACATTAAAAAAAAAAAAAACCACAGGCCTTGAAACTTGCATTATTTCTTTAATAAGTTTCTCCTCTGTTCTCGCTAGTGTCTCTTAACTCCTTATCATTTCTGTCTTGCTTTACATTCTGGGAAAAGTCCGCAAGTTTATGCTCGAGCTACTCAACAATTATTGGTCGAGGCAATGCTGTGTGTAACTTCCCAGGAGCAGAGAGGCTGCTCTCCGATGCTGCCTTGCAATGTCCCTGCTTTCTGGGTACAACGGCTCTGGCGTGACCATCGGGTTCTTGGCTCCCTCTGTCCTCGGAAGTACTTTCGTTTCCTGTGTGGCGGTTACCATCTTCCTTTTACTCCCCCTTGAGGTTTTCTCTTGTGTCTGCTCCTCACTGGCAGTCTGTTCATTTTCTAGCAGGAGAGCCGCAGGTTGTTAGCTGCTCCTTGGATTACGGCGTTTAGACACCGCCAGCTGCTCTGGGTACATCTGTGTCCCTCACATCCTCACCAACACGGAACCGCAGTAGAAGAACTGCAGCAAAAGAATCGCCCGCTTGAAAGACGACAGGTGATGAGCCATCTCACCGCGATCATTAGAACGGATCTTCACATTTGCCGACACTTTGTCTTCTTTCGCCAACTGGCAAAGATTCAGTGAGCGGAAGCAAAGCCACGTGGAAGGAGAGAGGGCTGGGAGGGAAGTCCTCTGGCAGCTCTAGTCTTCGTTAGACTGTCCTCCCCTGCTTCCCCGTCTGGGTACCTCACTCCCCCTTCCTCCCGCCCCGTCAGTCACGTCGCACCTCCTGCGCTGTTACTCTGTTCAGCTGGAAAGGGACATAAATCAGGCCAGGCCGGACTGGAAAGAATGACTTCTCCAAGCTGCAGGAGATGCTCAGCTAGTGAGGGGCGGGACCTTCTGGCAGCTGTCCCCCTCCCTCCTCGGGTCTGCTCTTGCCACGGCGTTAGGCATTTCTACCTCTTTTCACTCCATTGCTCCAAATGAAGAGCATTCACCAAAGTACAGAGACACCTTTTGGAAGTTGTAAAGCAAGTTCCTTAGAAATGCAGGCAAAGACAGAATCAGACGAAAAGACCTCATTATGTGGGTAGGCCTGACAAATTCAGCCTTGTGCACGGATCAGGGCTGTCAGCGGGTGGGAGGGACAGCAGGTGTGTGGGAGGGACAGCAGGTGCGTGGGAGGAACAGCAGTGGGGTGGGAGGGTCAGCAGGTGTAGGTGGGAGGGACAGCAGGTGCGGGTGGGAGGGTCAGCAGGTGTGGTGGGAGGGACAGCAGGTGTGGGTGGGAGGGACAGCAGGCGTGGGTGAGAGGGTCAACAGGGGTGGGTGGGCCCCTTGTATTTGGAGGTTCTTCTGCCGC